GATAGACTAATTTTGAATAGCAAAGTTATGATGACTTTGTATGAATTAATTCACTTAATTCTCCAAATTTATACAAGAATCAATTCACTTGATTCTATTAGAATATCTCAAACAAAGAAGGAAATCTGAACACCAATTGACACGAACATAAAACATTGAGAATCAATTCACTTGATTCGGGAAAAATGAAGCAAAACATAAGTGTGCATGAAAAGAAAGACTTGAATTCAGCAAGCAACTATTCTCACCATCTTGTTGTGCATCTTTTGGACTCTTGTAATCCCCAAGTTCCAAACTTTCTGTTTATAGAGTGCTAGATCTTGTATTTTGTCCAATTTCTTCTTGATCTTGTTAGATGGGTTGGAGAGACTTCATAAAGGTTGCAACTTTATGAATCTCTGGATCATTGGGAGTAGTTCATGGTTTGTATATGAAGTTTGATGGTTGGTTTGTGCCATACATAAGATTGTGGTCATAAAATCCCCTTTTTGAGCTAATTTGAGTCTAAGACATGCATTGGACATGCAAGTCAAAAAAACATCAAACTTTAGGATGGTTTTGGTGTTATAAGCTCTTCTGGAGCAAATGAGCTTGAGACTCAAGAGATTAAGTGGTTCTTGATAATTCCTTGACATTATTTAGCCTTTTTGGATCTAAGACTTGAGATCTAGACCTCTTGGTGGATCTCAAGTGATAAAGGTGACAACTTTACCCCTTTTGGACCTTAGAAATGATCAAATATGGATTTTGGAACCTTCGGAATTGGAGGATTTGACTTAACTCATTAAGACGTTTTGGATCTAGTACCCATGACGTGGTGACTGGGGGGATTCACAATTGTTTTGTGGTTTGAAGGCCATGACGTGGAGGGTCTATCTTGATTGTTGATTTTTACTTTTGACTTTGACCAGGATTTGACTAAGTTTGACCTAGGGGTAATTTGGGTATTTTGTGTTGTTGTTTGAGTTTTGGTCACTACTATTTGTAAAGGTGACCAGTAGCGTGGTTTTCAGAGCAACGTGTCATTTCAACTTTTTATCTGTTTGTGAAGTGAGTCTTCTTACCACCTTAAGTGGGTCAAAGACACCAAAGCTGACCCATGTATTGTATGAGTAGAATGTATGTTGTCGTATGATTTTGACTTATGTAATTGTATGATTTATATATGGAGCTAATTTGGGATAGGAGTCATAATGGACTCAAGGTTGATACGGACTCGACACAACTACTTGTTGTTACTTTGGGTTGATACGGACCTAACACAGTCACATGCTGTTATATTATATTTATGTTGTATGTGGTATTTTAGGAAACTCACTAAACTTTGTGCTTATAGTTTGTTTGTGGTTTTTGGTACATCTGGTACAAAAGGGAAGGTTCCGGTCGGCCTGATCGCAGTGCATCCACCCGTGTTTCGTATTTTCCTTATGAAATGGATTTATACTATGATAATAACTCTTATTTGACATACTTTGTGTAACAACCCAAAATACGACCCAATTTTTTTTTTTAATATTACTAAAACTCAAATCATTGAGTGTCATATATATTAAAAACCATGGAATGAGTAACTCAAATGTTATAGTATCTATGTCAAAAAAAAAAAAACTGTATCAATCATAACAATATCCGAAATAAACTCCCAGGATAAAACTGAAGCTGTGGTGTGTGCGATGCCATCATGCCGAGCTCTTCCCTTTACTAGCAGAAATACCTAAAACCAAAACTGTAAGCACGAAGCTTAGTGAGCTCCCCCAAACTACCACATACCATACAATAACACATAAACAACTATTGGGCCTTGCCCACTTCATCGGGACGGAGTCCGAAAACTACATTGGACCGAAGTCCGGAACTAACCAGGGCCTTGCCCTCTACATCAGACCGAAGTCCGAAACTGACTACGACCTTGTCCCCTGCATCGGACCAAAGTCCGGAACTAACTGCATCAGACCAAAATCTGGAACTGATTGGGACCTTGTCCCTTGCATCGGATCGAAGTCTGGAAACTGAATGAGCATAACATAGCATAACATAAACATATCAACTAGCATAAACACATATACTGCATACTGCATCGGATCGAAGTCCAGAACACATAACACAAAGACATGCTTGAATCATAAAGACATCAAGCACACTGAACTACTACATCGGACCAAAGTCCGGAACTACTGCTAACTAGACGGACCGGAATTTTGGCCGTAGACCCGTTCCTACTGGAAGGACAACTCACCTCATATCGCTGGCTGCTGAGATACTGACTCTAAAACTGGCTGACTGCTGCTCCGGAACTCGCTGGTTACAAATCCCAAAAACACTAGATTAGGTACTGGTAAATTCTCTCGGGATAAAATGACTATTTTACCCTTGGTTAAAGTCAACTTCCTGGTCAAAGTCAACTTCCAGTTGACCGGACTCGCCGAGTTGGCCCATCAACTCGTCGAGTCCTTATACTCTCTTCTTATCCACTACTCGCTACTACTCGTTGAGTTTAGCAAAGACTCAACGAGTTCTTCTTCGATAATGACATCCAGTCTAACTTCATCCGACTCGCCGAGTTGTATGAACAACTCGTCGAGTCCATCCTCGTATCATGAACACGTCTAGTCTGTGACTCGCCGAGTTGTATGAACAACTCGTCGAGTCTGTTCTTGAGGCAAGAAGATTGCTTTGGACTCGCCGAGTCAGGGTGTAGACTCACCGAGTCCCCCCCTTACTGAGTTCGTGTCCCATTACACTGAGTCCATGTCCTACTCACTGATTCCACTCGTAATCTCTCAAAGGGATAAATTTGGGGACTCGCGACTCGATTCGTCGAGTTCGATGAACAACTCGTCGAGTTGCTTGCATGACATAACTATATCGTTGATTTTTATCGATTCCAAGGCATTCAATTCATAGATTTGGGTTCCTAGAGTGGGTTTTACACGTAAAGTTTCAAACTTTACGTGCATGCATGATCAAATGAGGATTAAAAGCCATAAATAAGCCAAAAGTGTAGATCTAGGGCTTGCATGAGCATTTGGCCTAATAAAGCTGGTGAATTTGAGCTTCTGGAGCTCAAACATAACTAGATCTGATGTTCTTCTATCTCTACATGCCCCCTACTCACTAGTAGCTCTAGAAATGGCCTAAAAAGTGACTAGATTAAGCTTTTATGGAGATTCAATTGAAGGAACAACAAGGGTTCGAGTTTTAATACCTTTATGTGCTCTGAATTAACCCCCAAACGCCTATATATTCTTCTTCTCCTTTGGATCCTCCTTCCTTCTCATTCCAAAACTTCAAAGAGCACAAAACACTCAAGGTTGCTTAAAGAATTGCTAGGGTTTCGTATGGGACTCTTTGTGGGTGAGGGAGGCCGATCCTAGGGCACATAAGATGTTTAAATAGGGTGCAAACCCTTGAGATTAGGATTTCATCCAGACTGGCAGACTCGCCGAGTCCAGGAATATGGACCCGTCGAGTCACCCACTTAAAACGTGTGCAAATCATATCTCTACTCGATGAGTCGGGCTAACTCGTCGAGTTCCCCTTAAGAAATGAAAATACTTTATTTAAATCACATACCAGAATTTGAGCGTTACACTTTGGTTGATTTTTTTATGAATACTTGATGGTTTTCAATTAAAATAAAAATGAAAAATTTATCATTGTTTTTGGGACGTTGCGGAAGAAGAAAGGGACGGTGGCGGTGATGTTAGACAATGGTGAATGAACGATGTCTTGCTTGCTACATGTAGGTTTGTCCGATAGAGAAAGAGGAGAGATAAAAAGAGGGTAATTTGGCCCGAACGAAAGACGCAAGAAAATAAAACTATAAGGACGTTCTGAGTGCGAAAAAATTGTTAGAAATTATATACGTAATTTTAATAATCTATATGAATGCAAGGATTTCACAAATATTATGTGCGAAATCCTCAACCACAAATGAAGACCCCTTAGACTATCCCTATTGGTGATCTTTTGGGGATGGATCACCAAAAAAAGTTATATATATATATATATATATATATATATATATATATATATATATATATATATTGTGTGACGTAGGGGTCACAATGATCCGGCTCACCAAATAGCTCATGCATTTTTATTATTTTATATTGCCAAGTGTCCTCGAATTAATTTTTATATTTAAACTAATATAGTTAATAACTTTATTTTATATTTGGTAAAAAATAAAATAAAATATACTAAAATACGTAATTTATTTTTCTCTACAAAATAAGATTAATATTAATATAATTTTTTTAATATATTTTTTAATATAAAATTAGATTTGATTGTTAATGGATGTAAAAAATTGTGTTAGCGGGATGGAGTGATCATCTCATATGAAAGATCGGGGGTTCAAGTCTCTATGAAGATATAAGTGGTTATTTAGAATTAGATTACTTGTCGGTTAAAACAAAAACCTAAAAGATAGCAAACTTAATTTTAAAAAAAATAAATGAATTGGGTTGGGTTGGGTTGGGATAGTCTTACTGTGAGTTACCTTATGTTCGTTTGAAGGGATGTTATCGGTAAAAAGGCATATGTTAATTTCCGTTTAAAGGGATGTTATTTGTTACATACATGTTAATTTCGTAAATCATTCATTTGGTAAAATGATGTGATTACATGAATATGTAAACAATCACAATTCACAGTTGATACTGATAGTGACATGTATAAATTAAATTAAGAACATTTGCGGGTATCTATTTATTTATATTAGTACTAAACGGAGCATATGAATAGCGTCTTCATCGTCTTCTTACTTCCTCCATTTTTTCCAAGAACTTTCTCTTTCTCTCTCTGATGGATTCGATGGGATTAGATTGGATTCTAATTGGGTCAAAAATGGAGATGAGATGACGAAGTCAATTCCCGAACCCCTTTATTCCTTCTAACCCTTCTTCTTCATCTCTTCCTTTAAAATTTCACCCAACCAAGGATAAACCACCATTACTTTTGGGGATATACTGGATATACCATCAATCATGAAGCCCATGCTACCACCGCCAACCGGCGCATCTTCTAATCGCCCACGCCGTCGTCCTGACCTAACCCTACCCTTGCCCCAGCGTCAACCCCAAATTGCCGTCCCTCTCCCTCTCCCACCCTCTTCAGCCCCTAGTTCCACCACCTCGCAACTCATCTCCAACTCTAAACAGCAGCCCTTCAACATTTCCGAACTCGACCGTATGAACAGAATCGGCAGCGGTAGCGGTGGAACCGTCTATAAAGTCCTCCACCGCCCTACCGGCCGCCTATTCGCACTGAAAGTAATCTACGGAAACCACGAAGACGACGTGCGCCGCCAGATCTGTCGCGAAATCGAGATCTTGCGTGACGTCGATAACCTCAATATCGTCAAGTGTCATGACATGTTCGATCACGGCGGTGAGATCCAAGTGCTTCTTGAATACTTGGACGGCGGATCCCTTGAAGGAACTCACATCTCCAATGAAGCCTCTTTAGCCGATCTCACCCGTCAAGTTCTCTCAGGCATATACTACCTCCACCGCCGGAAGATTGTCCATCGTGATATTAAACCCTCAAATCTTTTAATTAATTCGAAAAAGCAAGTAAAGATTGCCGATTTCGGGGTTTCAAGAATCTTGGCGCAAACGATGGATCCTTGCAATTCGTCTGTAGGTACTATCGCCTACATGAGTCCGGAAAGAATAAACACAGACCTGAATCACGGCAAATACGACGGGTACGCCGGAGATATTTGGAGCTTAGGTGTAAGCATTTTGGAATTTTATTTGGGCCGTTTTCCTTTCGCCGTAGGGAGACAAGGTGATTGGGCTAGTCTTATGTGTGCAATTTGTATGGCACAACCACCAGAAGCACCAGCGACGGCGTCTCGTGAATTTCGAGATTTTGTGTCATGCTGTTTGCAAAGAGATCCAGCGAAGAGGTGGACGGCGGCGCAGTTATTGCGCCACCCATTCGTCAGCGGCGGCTCACCAGGAAATGGGAACCATACCAGTAATAAGCAGGTGCATCCCACCCATCAACTACTTCCTCCACCTCCTCTTCGTCCACATTTTTCTTCATCGTCTTGATTTTTGTGGTTATATTGTAATCTTTGTCTTGTGTAACATTCTAAGGGGAGGATGAAAAATTTGATTTTTAGAAACAAATATTTGTATTCCTAGTATTTAGTTAATTCATCTTTCACAAAAGAAAAATCTTCTTAATTAGTGTTGTTAGTATCATGATGAATGATCATTAGGGAAAAAAAAGTAGATAGATTGCAGAGTGAGAGCATTTGGGTTTAATGATTTACGGTGATAGGGGTAGCTTGCTTGCGTGTGGTAATGAATGGTGATAGAAATCTCTTGATACCTAATAATGACAACAGCCACTCATGTCCCCCTACCCAACAAACAAGTGGTTTTCTTTGGCATATAGACAGCTTGAATGAATGAATGAATGAATGAATGATTATAAGCATAGATATGTTTGATTGAGAAAAAGATATCACCTACTGTAGATGATAATTGGTATTTAAGTGATTGTGTAAATGCGTAATAAGGGTGAAGGGAATGTTGGTATGTTTTGGTTCTTGCTGTAAATGAAAGGTGGGTGTGTGTTTTTAAGACTAGAATGTAGGAGATGCATTTTATCAACTATTAGATCGTGGTTAAAGTCGGGTAGGTGTAACAGTTTTTTTTTTTCGTCAAATTTCCTTGTTTATTTTAAAAAATGCGCCCAAACTTGGATTGGATAGAAACTACTCAAATTAGAAACGGGTGGCCAAGCCCTCAACTTATACGGTTAGGCCGTTAGGATCAATTGTCACAATAATGAGAGCTCAAAAAGTAACTTTTGACTCTGGCAAAGGGATACGCATAGATGAGTATTTTTGTATTCCTACTTTTACCTTTCTCTCATCTAGTCATGTCATGTATTCACAAGTCATCAAGAAAAACTTTCTGGTCATTTTGTTCAATCTTTCTTAGTAGTATCTTCTTATTTCTTTGTTTCGTATTCGCAAATGCACACCAAATTGGTATAAGAGCCTGAGGGGAAATGACCAATTTTTTTAAGAAATGCACAACGAAGAGGTGCATGCAAGTGTTGGGTGATGTTCCAATTGCATATTTAAAAGGAAACTTTGATCAAGATCGAGCCAAAAGGAGGTTGGAACCATAGAAATTTGGTGCCTGATTTTTGAAAATTTTCGTGTTCAAATTGGGTGACGAAGACAACTTTATTTTTGTTTGTTTATTTGTTCATTTGAATCTCTTTGGTTTTGGGTTTGTGAATTTCTCTTTGATTAAAGAGTGAATGTTTTCAATTGGGTGGGGACCCTCTTTAACTCTTCACATGAGTTTTCGATCAAGAAAATGGTGGTTGATTTGTTCTTAGGGCAACGATTTTCAAAGATTAATCAAATGGTGAATTGGAGATGACTGAGTGTCGAATTAATCAAGTTTCTTTTCTCAAGTTTGATTGGTCAATAAATGGGAATTAATCAAGTTTCTTTTCTCAAGTTTGATTGGTCAATAAACGGGCATTATAGAACAAATCCAATAGGTCGAAGGAGTGCAAAAATTGAGTTGTTCGGTGAAGGTTGCAACGATATTGGTTACATAACAACGTAGAAGATGGTTTCTCAAGTGTGATTAGATTGCTTACATGGAATAATGGTCTATGGCGAGTTAATTTATTGGTTCAAGGTGCCAGTGTCTTGCTAGAACAAGGAATGTGGCTTCAATTTTTCAGAGCAAGGCTCGCAAGGGTGGGTGAAATGACAAGATTTTGTAATGTAAGAAAGTCGTTGATCCACTGAGAGGATTCCATATCAGAAAAGGTGAGATGTATCTCTAAATGGGTGGAGATTGGCGATTTTGAAGAGGCGTTGAGTAGTGTTGACTCTAAGTGTCAAAACAATATGGTTGGTATGGGTTGGAAAAGAAGATATTGGTCTTCAATGGTGGGCTTGTATGATGATGTTCCTCAAGGTGGTGCCATAGGGGTTTATCCTTCGAGTACTCGAGAGATACGTCTAAAAAAACAATTGAGACCATCAATTTGATACATGTTCAAAGACATGGCAGCCTATTGGGTTTAATTGGAGGAAGACCTTTGTTGATAGGCAATTGTCTCGTTATGAGGCAAGCCTTTGGGTAGAAACGAGGGATAAGAAAGTTGGATCATTTGATAAGAACAAGGTGTGGGATCTTGTCCGTTTATCGAATAGCGATGATAGGTTGTTGTAAGTGAGTTTGCACGAAAATAATTTATCAGGAACCAAGATCAAGCAGTTCAAACTTTGTCTCTTGGCGAAGGGTTAGAGTTGGAAAGGTGTGGTAAAGGTTGACAAGAAGTTGGATAAACTTCTAGGTGTTTGTTTCTCAATATACTTACATTGGGTTTATGGTTTGGAATTTTGATTGCATATAATTTTTAAGCCAATATGGAGATTGTATGTAAAAATTCTTTAAAACTGTGAGTTTAGGGACCCATTAAGATCATAATAACAAGTCTAAAAATGGAATTTGACTTAGTAAAAATGATGTGTAAAAGCGATATGCATCGATGAGTACTTTTGTATTCTTGGTTTTTCCTCTCTTATAAAGATTGAACGCTTCAATTTATAAGTTTCTAATGGTTCCAGACAACGATTTCTTCCGACAAAGGCAACACACACTCCTTCCAATTATGTGTCGCATTTGACTGAGAGCCCACACCAATAAAAGATTCACAAAGCCTGATAGACGTTAATTATTGTGATTTTAGCCTTTTACAATTTAAACTTTGGGTTGTAGGGTAGCACATATTGTGTTTTCCAACGTATACATCCATTAGCGGAGCTTAGCCCCCCTATTTTTTTAAATAATTGGCTCCGCCACTGTATACATCTAACCTTCAAGTATGTTCTTTCGAGAGTCCTAATGTATCACTTATGATCCTATAAATAGAAAAAATGATGTGATACCAAATAGGGTTGATTAAGCACATATTTTATCCAATATTTGTAATATATAATATCCTTCGGAGGGTGTGAAATAGGTTCATTCTTGATTCATGTATTTACTTGAAATGAATTCACCACAAAAATTCGTTTCCCCTGCAAAAAGAAACTAAATACGGGACGCTGCATGAGGATGATGATGCTCCTACAACTCTCCACAATTATCCACCTCATCCTCACGAATGGTGGTCATTATTGACACGACACGAATCTGGCATATAAATAAAGAGGTTTAAGTTGAGTTTTCTAACCCATTTGGTGTAAATTGTTTATTATATGGTTTTTGTTTAGGTTCGTGGGACAACCGCCAACACGCATATTATATGATTAAATAAAACAATTTTTAATATTTCATCAATTGTTTTTCTCATATTGGCTTATTTGCATTATGCCATGAATCTTGAACTTTATTCAACACTATATGATTATACGTAATAACACGCTTTATTAAAATCATCTCCATCGATGATGCATACACGTAGTTCGCAACACCAAACTAGCCACGACCACCAACTACGTCTCCATCAGTGACAAATGTCTTCCTTCGACCGGTTCCCGTTGCTCCATCTCATCCCATCACTAAGTCTCCGTGTGTGTGTGCGCGTGTTAACAATGTGAGTTTGGTGTTGTGAAGTGCTAAAACTAACGAGACATAATTTATGCGGTATGTAAAATCAACTTTTTTTTTTGGAATTTACCTTAATTAAACGAGTATGACCTATGAACCAAATTTTGACCCACGACCTTGATTATAATGCACGAACCTAATTGTGACACATGAATATGATTCTAACTATAATTCCCCACATATTTTCCCCTCTCCATACGTTATAGCCTTATCATAAAAAAAGCTTGAAAAATAAATTAAGTGAAAATCTGCCGAGTATCAAGCGAGACCAATTAGGAAAAAGAAAGGAATAATTGATTTAATAATACAACCGAGCCGGATAACCTTGGTATAGAGAAGGTGGATTTTTTATTAGTGTCAAAATCAAAAGATGAGAAAAGAATTTAATTTTCCTATCATAAAACTATATTTGTAAGATATTGTAAATTATGTCAACACACATAATTAATTATACTCATACATCAACATTTCATAAGCTACATTACAATAATCTATTATTTTTATATGACTAAAATAAATGAATATATATTGAAAACCCTTGTTAATAAATTAAAAAACTTAATTACGAAAATTTATAATAATCATTTATTTACTAAAACTCGATCCACAAAATAAAAATTCAAAAAAAATAGCAAGCAGCAACGCAAAGGGTAAAATTTCCCTAAATAATCGAAAAAGAGAAGTACAAGTAAAATCGAGTAAAAAACAACAAATGGTGTCCGAAGAAGAAGATGGGTCAAACTCAAAGGAGACCGACCACATCTGAACAACTTACAGTTACAGCTGCAAATCGGAGAAGACATGATTTCCAATCTCACGGTGTTCTTCTGCATCGTCTGGGTCGCTACCCTTCTTTACGGCGAGAAGTTCGCCTTTTGGGTACCCTCTTACTGGAGCTGCTCATGGCCTTCTCCTCCGGTAATCTCTCCATCTTTTTCTTCTTCGATCAACCCTTTCTTAATCTACACTCTTTTACCTCAACTCAAGTTTCTTCGATCCCTTGTTTCTATATACATTCATATGACTCACCCTGTACTTCAATCCATAAATACTAGCTTCCTAAAAGTAATAATTGCTCATTTTCTTATATTGTTTTGTTTAGATGGATAATCCCGGTGATTATGTAAAAATTGCAGTTGTGACAGATCCACAGGTATTCATGATTTCGATTAAATCTCGTACTAATTTTACACGACAAATCCCTTAACACAATACCATTGTCTCTAACAGCTCATGGATAGAACATCGCTTCATTTAGCTCCTAAATCACTGACACTGGAAGTTGTACAATTCTATACCGACATCTACATGCGTCGAGCAATACTGGGATCCATCGCACCTTTCAAACCTGACATGATTTTGTTTTTGGGTGATTATTTCGATGGTGGCCCTGTTCTTTCCGATGAAGAGTAAGGCAAAAAGAACACATATCTTTATACGTTATAATAATAATG